GGTTTGGACATGGCCAGAGGAGGGACAGTGGTTTGGACATGGCCAGAAGAGGGACAGTGGTTTGGACATGTCCACAGGAGGGACAGTGGGTATATTAGTAGAAGGATGTTAGAAATGCAGCTGCCAGGAAAAAGACAAAGAGGAGATAAATGGCTGGAGTTAGAGAGGACATGGAGGTCGTTGGAGTGAGGACAGAGGACACAGAGGACAGAGTGAGATGGAGGAGGATGACTCGCTGTGGAGACCCTGAAGAGGGAAAGTTGAAAGCAGAAGTCAGTCTTAAATTTGTTTGAAAGAACACCAATCCCTCCCAAATTGCGAAAACGAATCTGAGAGATTGAGACGAGTTTCTGGACAGTCACGTCGACTTGGAGTGTTTTGAGACAGAATTAGTTGAACTAATTATTTTCACATATGTTCAGAGGACAACTCTCAACAGGAAATTGAGTCTTCCTAAACATTTAAGACATTCTTGAAGCGTCTTGTCAGATGTCGTTTGCCAACAGTTGTAGAGTTTTGTTTCACCTTGAACAGGATCAATAACGTATTTAATGATTCCACCATTAACTCTCCAGTGAACAGCTTTGATCAAGTAGAAATCAAAAGTCGTCTTCTTGCAGGACAATCCAGAAACCTTCATATTTAAAATCCAGTTTTTGGGGGTTGGGCTGTGGAGATTTATCCCATTTTTTTTCTCCGTTTCCTAAAACGTGTTCCGTGTTGCGTCTTTAAGCCGATTTACTTACAGATTTAAACACTTTTCATTTAGTCCGTCAGGAAAGTGGCAGAACTTTGAGATCCTCTTTAGTAAGTTTATGTGAACTTTTTGGTTCCTAACAGATTTTCTTGGGTTTTAATAAAACCCTGAGTACAAACAAGAAGAGCAGAAAGGAGGAGAGTAAGAGTCGGACGGAGGGAAGTCCAGCTCGGCTGAAGACCGGCCTGCTGGCTCTCGGCGGTAACGGGATCTTGGCTGGCGGTGATGTGGTTAATAACGCGGCTGTTTTTCTTCTTAAGAGCTTCGCTTCAAAGCCCGGCTGCTGCCGTCGGTTCCACTTAAACAAAACGCGAGGCGGAGAGCGAGACGCTCTGCAAGTAGATTCAACGACCGCGACTCAAACCAAAACTCTCAGCTTTCGTCTCTCAACTCTATTTAACTTCTTCATTTTTTACTAAACTGTTTTGTGTGGGCAGAAAGTTGTGCCATCAGAAACTGGGTTCATTGACTTAGAAACTGTATTTTGTTGGATTGAAAACTCAGTTTGACTACTTTAATTTTCAGTTAACTTCAGTTCCAAAGTTCAGTTTTTCGTGTCACGCATCCGGGTCCTCGAGAAAGCCTCGGAGCAATCAAACACAGATTAACAGATTGACGTTTCACATCAGTGAAACTTCCTTTACGGGAGTGTAGGCATGGGGTTCAGTTTCAAGGAGGCGGTAATGCAACAGAGTGGATGCAATCCGCCGTAAAACACCAAAGAAGAAGAACTTCCTTTACAACATATTTTGAGCTGGAGCAGTGGCGCACGTGACTTCATGCCTACTTCATGTGTGTTCAGTTTCTGCCCATGACGTTTCAGCAATTTTTTTTTTTTTGCATCCGTCCAGAGGACCTGAATTAACTTTGTTGGATATTTTCTCTAGAATTTCTTAGATGAAAGTTAGATTAGATATAGATCTATAATTGCCTATGATTCCTGAGTCAAGGTTATGATTGTTAAGTAAAGTTTTAATTACAGCAACCTTAAAGCTCTGTGGTACGTAACCATTTATTAGAGACAAATTAAGCAGATCCAAGACGTGGTTATTAATTAAGAGAAATACGTCTTTAAACAGTCGGGATGGGATCTAGCAGACGTGGATGGTTTGGATGAAGATATTATTTTTGACCATTCAGAGAGTTCAACAGGACAAAAACTGTCCAGACATAAATCAGGTTCTAGTGACATTTTTAAAGTTGCCTCATCTGACACAGAACCAGAGGCGATAGTAGGAAGGATGGTTTGAACTGTCTCCCTAATTGAATTAATTTTTATTTATAAAGAATCTTGTGAAGTCATCACTGCTTATAGTTGTGGGGACACATGGATCAACAGAGATGGGACTTTTCATTATTTTAGCTACAGTACTGAACAGAAAGCATAGGGTTATTTTTATTCTCATCTATTAAAGATGAATAATATACAGTTCTAGCCTTATGGGGAGCTTTTTTATAAGTTAGCAGACTATCTGTCCAAGATGAATAAAATTATTCAACGTTAGTGGAGCGCCATTTTCTTTCCAGCTTTCTAGACGCCTGCTATAAAATACATAACTCAGACTTGAACCAAGGAGCTCATCTCCTCTGACTGATTACTTTCTTTTTCAGTGGAGCAGCTTTATTGAGTGAAATTAGTAAAGAAGTTGTAAATTTTTCAACCAGATGATCGAAGTCACTTCTCTCTGATGCATTACTCTGCAACACAGAGGAAAATGATGGAAGAGGATCTTTAAACTTGGTTACAGCGTTTTCTGATAAGAACCTGCTCAGGTGAAATTTACTCTCAGTGACTGTGTAGCCATTTAATGTAAACTCAAAGGTTATTAACAAATGGTCGGACACAACAGGATTTTGAGAAGATATTACTAAGTTATTAATCTTAATGCCATAAGTCAGAACCAAATCAAGAGTGTGATGATGAGAATGAGTAGATGTGTGAATGTTTTGGGTAAAACCAATTGATTCTATTCAATTTTTAAAGGCATAGCCTTTAAAAATCATAAAACTGAAAATAAAAGTAATCAAACTGAATTTTCAATCCAACGAAATACATTTTCAAAGCAAAAAAAAAACATTCAGTTTCAAACCATTAAATTCAGTTTCAAACCGATGGATTTAATTTCTAATTTCGTGAATACAGATTCAGTCTGAACAATTCGTATTCGGTTTCTATTGGTACAAGTTCCTGCACGTAGTTTCGTACCCCAACTTAATTCAGTTTTTACTCTTTTTATCCAACTATTAAAAATAATTTTAGTCTTTTCTGGAGCCGTAAAATGTTTTTATCGTCTCTGAAGGGAACCGGTGGGTGAGCGGTTCTGGTGGAGAAAACGAGACGTATAGAAACATATCGAGTGTTTTATTGAATGTTCTCTTGTTCTTTCAGGATCACCATCCGGGTTCTTTGTTGCCCGGGGAACGAGACCAGGGTTCGGGTTGGGGGAACCAGTCCGGTCTGCCCCACCAGGTTTTGTTCAGTCATCTTCCCCTCCATTCTCAACTCCAGGTACTTCTTTTATTTGGTTCCACCCTGAATAATAACGTGTTAGAGACGAGCTCTTCATGAGATTTTATTTATTTATTAATCACGTATGAGACACTGCTCTCACGTCGACTCCATTTAATTAATTTATTCCTTTAAAATGTACATTTCAAACATTTTGGTTACCTGCAGAAGCATTTCTTCATATTCACCTGGATAAAAGCAACATTTCATTTATAAACGATTGTAAAGATTTATAATAACTTGTGAATAACTTATTTATAGAATGTTATTTAATCATTTATAAAGGGAGCCTGAACAGGAAGTCGTATTTATTTATTTATTTATTTATTTGTTTGTTTGTTTTTTTTTGTAAATGCACATTTCTCATCTTAAACTTAAACATTTATTAATTTTCTTAGCTTTGTTGAATTTGGCTTTTTATTTTAATTTTTTTGTTTCATCAATAATGTTAATTTTTGCACTTTTTTATATTTTAGTTATATTATTATACGTTTAAATTGATCTGTTGAGAGGTTTTTCATTTTTGTTACTTTTTCATTTTTAATTTGATCGTTTATTTTTGTTCAGTTTTTGGCGCTTTGCTATTAAAGTTTACATCGACTTAGAAAATAAAACTTACTACTTTATTAAGTTGTAAAATTGCTATAAATTTTAAAGCGTTTAAAGCAAAAGTAGATGAAAATGATACGAGTTAAATAATATAAATATGAAACTTGTGTTAGAAATGTTTAAATGTAGTCGTTCATTATTTTTCTAAATCAGAAACATTTGACTGAAAATAGAAAGTAAAGCTCATCGGTTTCCGCTCTGTTGGTTGTTGGACGTGGAGCGTGTTGGACGTGGAGCGTGTTGGATGTGGAGCGTGTTGGATGTGGAGCGTGTTGTGGAGCGTGTTGGACGTGGAGCGTGTTGGACGTGGAGCGTGTTGGACGTGGAACGTGTTGGTCGTGGAGCGTGTTGGACGTGGAGCGTGTTGGACGTGGAGCGTGTTGGACGTGGAGCGTGTTGGTCGTGGAGCGTGTTGGACGTGGAGCGTGTTGGACGTGGAGCGTGTTGGATGTGGAGCGTGTTGGATGTGGAGCGTGTTGGATGTGGAGCGTGTTGGACGTGGAGCGTGTTGGATGTGGAGCGTGTTGTGGAGCGTGTTGGACGTGGAGCGTGTTGGACGTGGAGCGTGTTGGACGTGGAGCGTGTTGGACACCAGCGCGCTTCAGACTCAAAACAAACTTTTTGTGTTTTAAATTTTGTTTTTATAAAAAACTAATTATAAACATTTTGACTCGACGTGTTCCTTTCATTTTAAAACTGTTTTTCGTCTCGCTCAGGTGCGTTCTCCGTTCCCGATGATCCCCATCGGGGGGATCCAGATGGTGCACTCTGTCCCGCCCGCCGTCACCACCCCGCTGGCCCAGCAGGGGGCGGAGCCAGCCGCCTCCCGCCTCCTCCTGCAGAAGAGTGCGTCAGAGGACTCCGTCGGCGGTGAAGCGGCCTACTTCTCGGAGCGGGGGAGACGAGAAGGAGAGGTGGGTGAGAGGGGGAGGGAGTCGACTTGTCCTCACCCCTCCTCGCGGGAGAGGGAAGGGGGAGGAGTTAGGCAGGAGCAGGAGGAGACCATCCGCACCTGCACCAAGGCCATCGCCTCACTCTGCATTGACTCCCAGGAGTCTGTCACGAGAGGAGGAGGCAGCAGGGGGGATGATGGGAGAACCAGAGGCCGAGCTCCTCCCTCCTCCCCCTCCATGTTGTCCTCCGACTCCCATCAGCAGCAGCAGAACTCCACATCGCCCCCACCTCACCCCTCCCCGTCTCCTCCTCAACCTCCTGGGATTCAGCACTTTAGTGGCCTGAAGCTGAGGCCTCCCCACCCGACCATCCCCACCTCTCCTCACTCCTCCTCCTCCTCCTCCTCCTCTCCTCACCCCTACAGCCAAGGACTGGACTCATTTCACCCTCCGACGGCCTCCATCAAGCTGGAGAACGATCCGGAGGTGGAAAGCACAAAAAGAAACAAGGACGTGTCGTAGGACGAAGCGATTTGTTTGTTTTTTATCGCAGGACGGGGAAAAGTGCAACGAGGAGAAAAGTCGAGACTTTTGCACAATTTGAGCGATTCCTCTGAATCAAGACGAGCAGCTCGTCGAGCAGGAGCTGGACGGGAGCTCTGCTGGTGGAACGTGCACAGCATGCCCGGCAGACTCTTCTTCAAAGAGCAAGCCTGACCAAAATCTGCTCGAACGCATCTCATCCAACGGTACATCCAACCAGTTCTACATGTGTGCCTTTTCTTTCATTCTTCTGTTTTTTGGGGCTTTTATTCTTTGTAAATACGATCAGCTTTGTAATAAATGCACCCCCCCCCCCCCCCTTTTATTTTGGACACCGTAAAAGTTGATGTGAAGTTCTGGATATTACTATGACGTACAGTTGCACTAAAACTTATTTTTATATGAGTGAATTGGAAAAAAACTGCATTTTTTGTGTACAGCTGCGATTCTATAATACTATTTATTGTTACCATGTTTCATAAATTGTACTTTCTTTTCTTAAACGTCGTCCATGCCTTTTTCTATGTGACGCATGGCGTTTTGCTGACGTTAGGGCGATGAATATTTACACTGTAACATGGCTTCGTATGTTAGACTTATTTATATCCAGTTGCAGAGGTTTATATCACTTACGGGCTGGGACGCATTAAAACTTTGGGGCTTTTATCGATTTACTGAGCTGTTTTTTGGGGGTGGAATAATTGTACAATTGAGTATAAATGACTTAAAAACAAGATGCACAAGTTTGGATTTGTTCTGGGTTTTCTCTGTCCCTGTTATTTTCTGGTTACTGGTTTCTGAGCAAGTATCCACCAAGAAGGTTGTGGCTCATACGACCGCTCTGACTGGTAGGAATGATTGACACTGGTTGCTTTCCTGGCACAGACGAAGTTTATTTTATTATATTTCACATTTTTCCCTCAGGTAGAGCTCAGGCTCCTAATGTTGGCTGCTGTGTCCAATCAGAAACCAGCTCTGACGCACGTTTGGGGTCGTTGTTCTGTTGGTTTGAGGTGAAGATGAAGAGTTTAAGTTATTCCTCCACTTGTTTTAGTCGCTCTGCCCCACAGCATGAGGCTCCCACCACCGTGCTTCAGTGTTCTCAGGTCTGAAAGCCTGGCCACGACTCCTCCAGTCACTCTTCTTCTTGGTCTCCAAAGTGTTTGGACGTCAAGCGCGGAGGCGTGGCTTTTGGAGTCTTCGTGGTCGCCATGGTGACCTGGCTTCACCGTTGCAGGTCGGAGATCATGGCCGGCCTTGGTGGTTCCTGAATATTCTCTTTACCGGCTTCTTTCTGTGCGGTGCAGTAGAGCTGTTGCCTCTCAGCGAGAAGGTCGTCGGTTCGAATCCCGGCGGGGTCCTTTCTGGGTGGAGTTTGCATGTTCTCTCCGTGCATGCGTGGGTTTTCTCCGGGTACTCCGGTTTCCTCCCACAGACCAAAAACATGCATGTTAGGCTGATGGTAACTCGTTGGGCGTTCCTGTTTTGTGTGTTGGTCAATCCAGTGAAAGCTGTCGAGTAAACGTTTTTTTTGTTTGTTTGTTTTTTTTTGGCGAAGAGAACATACAAGCTACCAACAGGAAGTTAACAAACCTTGGCCTTTCAAAGTTAAAGCACCTTTTACAACCTTGATTGGCAATCCTTTAAAGGTTTAGGTGAGTATTTGAGCCGGTGAGGATTAGAGGAAAATGCCTAAATGCGAACTTGTGCACCCATTTGTTTTTTTTAAATCATTGAAGTTGTAAGTTGCATCGTTCCACCCCGGAAAAAGAACGGTTCAGATAAATCCTTAAACGTCCAGCATCGATGTGACGGTGGTGGTCAGGATGAGTGGATGGAAACGTTCCACCACAGCTGTGTGTGTAAGTGAACCCTCTCCCCGCGGAGGTTTATGCTTAAAGGTTTATTATAATATTTACTCATCTGAACACATACAGTATATATATATATATTAAACCCACCTGTTTGTATCTGCACTCACCTTTTAGGAGACGTTCACGTTAAGGTTCTGTAGTTCGCTTGTACATTTTGCTGCTTTTCGCCCGCTGCTGTTTGGGATTCTTCCTCCCGTTTTATTTTCCTTTTCAAAGAAAACACTTTATTGTTTCAGTTCATTGTAATTTTTTATTTTCAGCTTGGAGACGCGCTCTCAGCATTAAGTGATGTCTTGCACCGTGGCGCTCTGCTGAAACGCTTCACCGTGCACTCCTCCTCAGCGGCGTTCAAGACGACGACACAAAATACATTCCAGTCCGTGTAAATGACAATTCTATGGGGTGCCGTTGGTAAAGTTACACAGTCAAAGATTAACAGCAATATTTGGTTTATTTAGCCTTTCATTAAAAAAAAGGTTTTTTAAGTCATGTTTTCACCATGTTATTCATACATTTATAAGTGTTCACTAGCCAAATGTTTAAGTTACAAGCTAAATATATTGTTTACAAACTAAATACTTAACTTTAGCGTGGAGCTAAATATTTAGTTTACAAACTAAATGTTTATGTCCAAGCTAAGTGTTTAATTTACAAACTTAATATTTAATTTGCAAGTTAAATATTTGATAAATGAATTAAATATTTAATTTTCAAGCTAAATATTTATTTTCCAAACTAAACATTTAATTTCCAAACTAAACATTCATTGTCCAAGCTAATCATTTAATTCCTAAACTATTTAATTGGCTAACTAAATATTTAGCTCGGACCTAAATATTTATTTTCTAAACTAAACATTCAATTTCCAAAATAAATATTTAATTTGCTAACTAAATATTTAGGTTGGACCTAAATATTTATTTTCAAAACTAAACGTTTAATTTCCAAACTAAACATTTATTGTCCAAGCTAAATATTTAATTTCCAAACTAAATATATAATTTCTAAGCTAAACATTTAATTCCTAAACTAAATATTTAGTTTGGACCTAAATATTTATTTCCCAAACTAAGCATTTAATTTCCAAAATAAATGTTTAATTTGCTAACTAAATATTTAGGTCAAACCTAAATATTTATTTTCCAAACTCAGCATTTAATTTCCAAAATAAATATTTAATTGGCTAACATATTTAGCTTGCTAGCTAAATATTTAGTTTGTAAATTAAACATTTAGCTTGGACATAAACATTTGTTTATTTTTTTCTTTCCTTTTCTAACCACTGTTTTTGTTTGTCCAAACAGGTCTCACTTGTAAATGAGTCTTCGGGGCTCAATGTGATTTATCTGTTTAAAAAAAGGTTGAATGAATTTAGTTTGTAAACTAAATATTTAGTTTGTAAATTAAACATTTAGCTTGGACATAAACATTTAGTTTGTAAACTAAATATTTAGTTTGTAAATTAAACATTTAGCTTGGACATAAACATTTAGTTTGTAAACTAAATATTTGTTGTGGCGCTAAATATTTAGCTTGCTAACTAAACTAAATATTTAACTTACAAGTTAAATATTTAGTTTGTAAACAATATATTTAGCTTGTAAATTAAATATTTAGTTAATGAACTATGACATTCATAAATATATGAATAACATGGTGAAAATTTGATGTTGAAAAAAATATTTTTTCTTATGAAAGGCTAAATAAACCAAAATATTGCTGTTAATTCTCGACTGTGTAACTTGACAAACGGCACCCCATACTTTTCTCCGAGAATTAAAAACACATTTGAACACAACAGTGATGCACGTTGCGTTCAAGGCCTCTGAGACAACTCGAACTCTGATGACGCACCTTATGTTTGCTCTGTGAAAATCCCAGCAGTCGCGTTTTTAGAACTGCTTAACGCTCTAGAAGCTGAACATAATTTAAGTAGTAATTATGATGTGGACTTCTCTGCACTGCTTTGTCGGCTCCCCTTCTCCTCTCCTGCACCCCCCCCCCCCCTTTTTTTTTGTAGCTAAGCAATATTTAGCCAAAACTCTGCGCATCAGCAGGGAGTGTATTTGTTGCAAGGCAACAATAGTGTACTTTAAAACAAAATCCTAAGATCAGGAGAAGAAGGGAGCGTTGTGGTGATGTTGGGCTGAGTCGGGCAGGCTGCAATGTGTCTGTGTCGTGTGTATTCCACCAGTATATCCTCTTCTTACCACTTGTTCTTTTCTATCGGTCCTTCCTCTGTTGTGTACACTTATGACGATGATGTCTTTAAAACTTCTCTCTTATCAAAGCACAAGTCATTGTATAGAAATGACAGGAATACAAAAAAACAAAAAAAAAGGTGAACGTGCATTTAAAAGGGTAACTTTGTGACGGTGTTCTGTGGAATTAATACGATTGTCATGTTTGACCCCAGCTGCAACGAGGAGTCGCAGCAGAAATGGAAGAAATGGATTGTTGTTTCCAAATAAATATAAATAGGAAAAAAACTAATCATTGTACTTTTTGTTTTTACAATATAACAAGCATGTCTGTCAGCTGTAAGCATTAGAGTTAGTGTCGGTTGGACTCTGTTTAAAACTGTTTTAGAATCGGAAATAACAAGAAGCGTTAAAAATATAAATATCTTTTTAACGAAAACGACAAAAACAAACTAAGTCTGTCCTTATTAACATTTGGAAGCGCTGCTGATCGTCATCAGTGGGCGCACCCGCCAGGACAGCAGCAGTTTTTATTGCTCTGTGTGTGTTAACACAACGTCAAGACAGAAAGACATCAGCAATGACCTGCGAGAAGAAACTGTTGCCACCCGTCAATCTAGGGTTTGTTCCAAACTACCTGGAGTCCATGATTCTACAGAAAGAGTGGAAAATATTTAAGACGGATGACAATCTCCCAGGAGGGGACGTCCCAGCAAATTTACCCCGAAGGTCAGACCGTGCATCACTTAGAGAAATGAGCTACAGGCCTCAGTCAGCAGGTTAAGGTCAAAGGTCAATGCTGAACATGACAGCATGACATTGAGAAGATTCATTTGAAGGAAGCACAAAACTTCTGGGATAAAACCAGACCAAAGGGCAGATGTTTACCCAGAATGCACTGCAGCAGATGCCTCATACTAAGTGTCAAGCACGGTGGTGGAGGGCCGATGG